AGAAAGTAAGGGATAGAGAAAGAAACAGACATTCTGGAATATAATTTCTAACAAATATTCCTAGCTTTGGATCGATGATATGAGATTCCATTTTTTGCTAGTCTCATATCCCATTTTCCTAGCTACCAATCAGGTCTAGAATTCTCCCATTAGAAATGCCTAATAATAATTATGTTCCAGCATTGGATGACAAGAAAAAGTGAAACAAGGGGAACCTTCAAAGCAAAGTTTCCCCATCAATGAGCTTATATGAGAGAAAACCATGTCATCTGTTATGATTCAGAAGATGGTTGATGGCCTAGTAAACAACCTAGGAGGAAACTTTTTAAGTGGCATAGTCATTGGAAGTGAATGATTATTGCATATATGGATGATTATTGTAGATATTAGAGAGGAAACTTTATTTTCTAGGGAAAATTAATGGATGGACAAGAAATTGCAGTGAAAAGGCTTTCCTGGAGTTCTGGACAAGGATTAAATGAGTTCAAGAATGAGGTTAAGCTGATTGCCAAACTTCAGCATCAGAATCTTGTTAAGCTTCTTGGATGTTGCATTGAAGGAGAGGAGAAATTGTTGTTTTAGGAATACATGCCTAACAGAAGCCTGGACTCATTTTGGTTTGAAATCCATAAGAACTTCTATAACTTACACCAATATAGTTACGTTATCTCTATTTCACTCACTTTGGATGAAGAAGGATACTAAATTACCAAGAACACAATGTTTTCCAGATCAAACGAGGCGTAAAGAATTAAATTGGTCCAAGCGTTTCCAGATTATCTGTGGGATTGCTAGGGGGCTTCTCTACCTTCACCAAGACTCTAGGCTGCGGATTGTACATAGAGATCTTAAAGCTAGTAATGTTCTGCTGGATAGTGAGATGAACCCCAAAATTTCAGATTTTGGCATGGCCAAAACTTTTGGAGGAGACCAGACTGAAGGAAACACAAACCGAGTGGTTGGAACTTAGTAAGTATTGCTTCAGTAAGTATTATTACTTCAATTCTTCATAATTTTATCTCCAGATCCCATTTATGTGTTCTCTTTTGAACAATTTTCTGCAGTGGATATATGGCACCAGAATATGCCATTGATGGCTTATTTTCAGTAAAATCAGATATTGTTAGCTTTGGTATATTGTTGATGGAGATAGTAACTGGGATGAAAAATAGAGGGTTGTTTCATTCAGATAATAGCCTTAACCGCATTGGACATGTAAGTTTACGTACTCAATCATTCTTTTGCTTCCTTCTATATTCTTTGAACTGACAAATGACGCAAAGACTTCAATATGCTTTAGACATGGACTTTATGGAAAGAAGGCAACCCTTTAGAACTCGTTGATGAATTCTTAGGGGGGTATTACTCTCTATCAGAAGTTTTCAGATGCATCCGCATCAGTCTTTTATGTGTACAACAGAAGCCTGAGGACAGGCCTACCATGTCATCTGTGGTGCTGACGTTGGCAAGTGAGATTGAACTGCCTCAACCAAAAGAACCTGGTTTCTTGCTCAGAAGGGCTGCACTTGAAACAGATTCATCATCGAGCAAGCATAACTCAATGTCAATAAACAATGTTACCTCGCAGATTTTCAGGCTCGATGAATAAGTATACCTAAAATCCTCAGCAGTGATCCTCCATCAGTCAATAGATGATTCTAATAACAATGTTACACCTGTAATGGCTAGAACATTGATCATCATTACATTTTGTACCTTATGTTTCCGCAATTTCAATTCTTATGATTTATGAACCTTAGGATATTTGAATCCCAATGCAGAAACATACCCTTCAAGTCAAAGAAATCCTAAAAACAGATCATGAAATTTCAAATTCATCATCCTTGTGTCATGTTTAATATGAACATGGTAACTTTTGTTAACTAGAGCATGCTTGAATTGGAACTTTTGGATGGGGATCCTGATAAATGAGGATAACCATAAACGATCGGCATCATTAAGATTAAACAGAAAGATTTTCCAGAAATATCAGGAAATGAATACAACAAATCTGCTGATTATAACAACAAATAATCCATACATATTCGCAATTTCTCTGAAGTTGACAGTTAAGGATAAAACTTCATGTTCTGTGATGGTGACCGGATTTTCCAGGTTGAAATTAGCATTCAGTGCCCCCCAAGAAAGGGGAGATGGATACAATCAAAAAGGAAAAAGGGAAGGTGAGAAACAGCTTTCAATCCCCTTATCCCTATGTTCATAATTGCCATTTCACCCCTTCTCAACAGCTCCACAGGTAAACATTCCCAGAAATTCATTTTCATACAAATAGTCCAAAACAGTAGTTAGGAAGAAGAAAAGAGATATGCATGATATGTTATGTTATATAAAACTGACCCCTCTTGCTCGTTATCTACAGTTGTTTTTAATGATGCAGATAATATCAATTAGGACTATGCAAGGTAGACAGTTGGTCAAAGGTATAGCTTTTGAATCAAGGCAATGAGATTGAACATTATGGGGTGACAGAGAGGGTACATGAACCTTAAAGCAAAAGCCAATTTTCCATTTAGGGGTGTGGGGTGTGCCTGTTCTAGTAAATCATGAAGGATCATGGAAAACTGATCATGGATATTCCTGATAGTTCAAGGGAGACCCTATCCTTCTTTTGAGAAAATGGAAAGTTTCATTTTGTTTGCAAGTCCTAGATGTCACACTAGAACATATGATAGGGACAGTCATAATCAAAGTTTTGTGGCTGTATTTTTCTCCTCTACTTTTCTTTGAGTTATAAAGTTGAAATTTGGAAATTAATTAATAGATCTGTTTAGGGGTACCCCATATGATCAAATATTAAAGTGGACAACAAAAGGGTTTACCCAGTAAAGTGAAAGGAATTTAAAAGAAATCCTTGTTTTCAATTCAATGAACAAAAGCCATTTTAACATGATTATAAGATTAGACCATGCAATATGTCAAAACCATGCTTAATACTCTAGATTAATCGTAGTGCTTTATTGTTAACCTGATTATAAGATTAGACCATGGAATATTCTACCATTCAAGTAATAATGACACATATATGCATGATTTGCCTTTAATCAGATCAAGAAAGTGAACTTAATTTGATACTCATAATATTCAAGTAAATAATGGCACATATATGCATGATTAGCCTTTAATTAGATAAAGTAAGTGAACTTAATTTGATACTCATAATTTGAGATATTACTTGACTGCTACAAAATGATATTACTTGAATGTTTAAACTATGCAGAAAAAATAAAAATAATTTAAGATACCACTTGATTGTGACAAAATGATACCACTTAACCGTTAAAAAAATACAAGGAGAATTGGATTTTGTTGACAAAAAGCTCCATAATGTGTTGCGCAAAATACATTATGAAGCTTCCTCTCTATAGAGCCAGCCAAGAGGGAAAGAATAATTGATTGAACATTAGTTTGTTCAGATCCTAGCAACTTGCTAAAAGTCTTTCTTTAACTCCAATTTTTCAGAAAAAAAAAAAAAAAAAAAAAAAAAAAAAAAACCTTGATTTCCACAGGTTTTCAAAAGGATGGCTATTGACTTGTATCTTCATGTCATCTTGCAGTCATGCATACCTCACATGGTTAGATGTAGATTTAGATATATTTTCACATTTCAAGGGATTAGTCTAGTTGAATAATGTACATATTCGTTATCCATATGGTCATGTTTTTAAATTGCAATGTGGTTTGGAGTTTGGACAGTGACTAAATTGAAGAAAAAAAAAATTGAGATAATACGGTTCGGAAGTATATACTATTTGTTGAACATGTCCAATTTTGGGGATAGGGGGAAGGTTTTGAATTGATCCAGTTCATGATGCCGAGAAGGCACCATTGACCAAAAGCCTATGAGGCCATAAAAGTATATACCATGAGGTGCGTTTTTATTTATGCAATTTTTTATTTATTTTATTGATTAAAAATTGATTTTAAAATAAATAAAGATTTAATTAATAATTGACATGCCATAAAAACTTTTTTTTTTGGTGTATTAAAGGAGATGAACTTTATCTAATGTAATTATTTAAAATTTTTTAATATATGGGATGAGGAGTTTTATAAGAGAGAGTAACATTTATTTATTTATTTTTAAATATCTCTATTTGATTAAAAATTCGAATATAAAATATTTAAAATAAAATTTTATATTCTTAATCAATTGAGTTTTTAAAACACTTAAGTTAATTTAAGATCTAACCTAATTCCAAAAAAAATAAAGGAAAAAAAGGAGAAGAAAAACTTATGTTAAGCCTATTTTTTATGCTGTAATATTATTTATAAACAAGTTAATGTTAAATTGCATGAAGAGAAAACAAAAGAAAGATGAAGATAGATATTCTTATGTCATCTTGCAATCATGCATACCTCACGTAATTACATTATATTTAACTGTAGAGATTTAATAATTGAATAAATTTTGGATATTAAAAAAAATAATGTAAGCCTTCTAAAAGTTTTTTAAATGATTTATCTAAAAATTTATGTTTTAATTAATATTTTTAAAAATTAATTAAATATCTTATTTATATAAATCATATATGTTAATTTTTATATTATTTTTAATAATGTTAAATTTTTTATAATTAATGAAATAATTAAACATATTAAAACAATTTAAAAATTAATATGTAT